CAACAGCACATTTTTGTAATAAACTAAAAATGAGCCGATATTAAAACGGAAATAAAAATAACATTTTATAAATGATTTAAATATTTGTTTTAAAACAATGTTTGTTAGCGGAAGCTATTTCCTATCTTTAATATCCTTCCCTATGCACCATCACCTAAATAAAAAGTCACTGATATTTTTATTTACTTCTATCTTTTCAATTATTTTCTTTGGCAAAACAAAATAATAATAAAAGAAGCCGATAAGAAAGAGATCAAAAGAAGGGAAATAAGTAAATATTATGGATTTAAGCGGATGTTATTTTTAATTTGAATTTTCTTGTTACAGAACCAAATAAGGAAAGGAAGTAAGAAGTGATTTTTTCCGAAAAGAAGATTAAAACACACTCGGGAAAAAGTTATCTTTTAATTTATTAATTTCAAAAATAATCATTTTTTGCAGAAACATTTGCTTTGAAGATAAATATTCTCTTTTTATTTCACTGAAGATTGCATTCTTTTTTTTCAAGAATAAGTAAGTAAATGTTGCTTTTTCATGGACACCATCTATTTTTATTTACTTTTGAAAACCTATTTAACCTTTTAAATAGCTTATGTGATTGAGCTTAGATAACACAACTTTCCAAAATACAGTACAGAAATGTTATTTAATATAACGGATGTGGGATATAAGAAAAAGGTTGCATATTCATTAATTTTACTTGAAATTCATTTTTATTATCGTAATTCTTTTTTCTTTCGAATTGTCTCTCTTTTTTAACGCTATGCTATTCTTTTCTTTGTATTTCATGAGTGAGTCATTTAGTTTAATTTACACTATTTTTTTATTCATTGTTTCTGTAAAATTTCAAAACTTTACTTTGAAAAAAAATTATATCGAGACAAAAGTAAGTCGGAAGTAAATCTCCTTAAAAATTACTTGGAAAAATTATCTCAGCTATTGAGTTTAAAATGTAGTGATATAAAAAAGGAATAATATTACTTTCGTTTGAACAGTACAGAGCGTAATTCATTGAAGAAATAAACATTTTAGCAATTTGTCATATTTAGTACCTACAATTACAACTAAAGGGGAGTAAGCAAAAACTAAATACTTGATTAAGTAATTGCTTCCAGTTAAGATTATTTTATTTTGGTGGGATACCCACAGAAAATCTTTATCACCATGTTTTTGCATTTCACATTAATTGCTGATGTTCAAATTTCAGATTCAATGGAATTAAAATAAACATTTTGTTTCTTATTTATGAAGAAAAATGGAATTTAAAAGGCTAAATGAAAGATTAATGTGTGTTAAACGTGAACTTAATAGGTTAATGAAACTGCAACGGGTCTATTTGCGAGCCTCCTACTAATCCTCTCGGGAAAATCTGTTTCTTTAAATATTATTCAATTGAAAACTTTCTCCTGAAGAAGACGATGTGTCTTATGTAAATCGAGGCTTATATTTAAGCATTAACTTTTAAGTTCGATAGAGAGAGAGGTTAGGAGCTAGGTGATAGAAGTTAGTGATTAACGTAAAGTACTAGAAAGCTAGTCGAAATTATTAATAGATTATTTGCTTAATATTTAAAATTGGTGTTTGACGATTTGTGGTCTATTATATATTTAAATTGAAATAGTGTCGACTTGAAGTAAATTAACTTAGAACTTAATTTCAATTATTTGGAGCCTGCATTGCGAAGACGTTCCATACGTAAGTGATTCAATTCATAATTGAATATTAACTATCTCGTCTACCTCGCTTTTGTCCCAATACTTACTTATAGGTGCATTTCTTGACCTGAGTTGTTGAGATTTGTTATGTTGTTGAAACTTGTTAGTAAATTATATTTGTTTTGACTACGGCTGATCTTCCTTCTAACTCTCGATCACAAAATTCTTTTATGAAAATATGAATAATGAATTTTTATTTTGTTTTGATCAATCAATACATCAATATCATAAAATGTGCTATCAAACTGAAGCGCACTTCTTAAAAGTAGGGATACATGTTAACTTACAAGTTATGATCCTAATTCATTAGATGCTTTAGTAATAAAAGGTTTTGAATTAAGAAAGAAATTATGCATAGAAAACTATTTTCCCCCCTTTTAAAATTTTTACAATGCTTTTGCGTATGTTCCCGTTTTATAACTATTTTGCTCTGTCTATTACAATCTCTCTCTTTCACCTAATACATATATATTTATTATATATCCACAAAATTTTATAATTAATTACTTATTTATTTAATCTATATTTATGGGTTATGACTTTGAATAAACAATTATAGTACATTTCCTTGAAGAATTTGTTATAAATTTTCGTCGCATCTTCTCTTGAGGGTAATACATTGCATATTTTTTCTATATATGGAAATGCTACAGTGAGTAAAGTTTTTTTTTTCATGTGAGACATTAATCTATCTTAATCATTACTTTTGTAATGTCAAACTACTTTTACTAATGTATCACTTTATAAAATTTTTGAGTGAAAATAAAATTAAAATTAGTCTTTTATTATTGAGATTACCTAAGAAATGTGAAAAATAATCGAGTTTTAGCTTTTGCTGAACCCGAGGTACTTTTATTTTTTAGAAATTATTTTACCATATATTTTTTTTGAAAAATTATTCTGTTATACATATGCATAATGTATGGTATTGTCAGTATTTAAGAATATTTTGAAGCAATCTTAGCATTATAAGATAGAATACAATTTAGTGGAGTGAAAATGATGAATACTAAAATAATTTGCAAAAGTTCTTAGATTGATAATTTCATTCAAAAGGCCGTTTTCTTTAAAATAAAAAAAATAATGCAACGTAACATACGAATCTAAATTTTAGTGAAGAAAAAAAAATTACTGTTTGACTTTTGTCTGACTAACAGATAGTTAACTTGGCTTAATATTATCACCTTAACAACAAGCAGAATTAAGATAAGGAGAATGCATTTTATTTCACCTTCTAACATCGAATAATTAAAAATTGCTTTAATAATGCTTAGAAAATTAAGTTGTTTAAATGAAAGCAACTTTAAATTTTGAAGATTAAAAAGAAGATACGCTGACAAGATTACAAAAAAGAACAGTAAAATAATAATTAAAACATTAATAAAGTCTCGGGCATTTCAAGGAACAAGAGCTGTGAGCGACACTCCTGAAGTTCCTCCCTCCCCATCATGCCTACCTAAAGGTAAAGGAGGAATAAAAGCAGAACCAGAAACTTCCATTATAACACATTTATTTATTTTACTCAAACACACTAATCAACAACAGTTTAATCTCTAAGTGAATGTCAAAGGAATGGCAGAGAGAAATAAATAAGTATTAGGTTGGGGAAAAAGAAATCCATTGTTTTTGCATGGAAATCAAGACTTTTTTTAGTATGCTTCCAATTGTCCGATTTGGGTCAAGTATACACCGTTTTGTTGTATAATTTGTTGCCATTTCAAAGGTAGCTTCATAATGCCTCTCTTAAAAAGTTTTGGCTCTTATTGGCGAAAACATCTAGTAATCGATTTTCACAATATTCTTTTGATCCCAATTTCTTATTACTCAGAAGTTTTGCAATGCGAGAAAAAAGGTGATAATCACTTGGTGCTAGGTCCAGACTATATGATTGATGCATTAAAACTTCACAACCAAACTCCCAGAGGTTATGGAGAGTTACTACAGAAGTATGTGTTCTGGCGTTGTCCTGATGGAACACAGCAGCTCTTCTGTTGGTCAATTCTGGCCATTTGTGGACAATCGCTGGCTTTAAACAGTCCAGTTGTTAACAATAGATATATGAATTTAGTGTTTGGCCATGCGGAAGCAACTCTTAATAAAAGATTCCTCTCCAGTCCCACCAAATACACAGTAGAATCTTCCTGGCCGTTAGTCCTGGTTTGGTCACAGATTGAACTGCTTCACCGCACTTTGACCACGATTGTTTTCACACAATATTGTCGCATGTGACCCATTTCTCATCCCCAGTCACCATCCGTTTAAGAAATGGGTCGATTTCATTCCGTTTGGCCAAGGCTTTGCAGAGGAAAATTTGATTCATCATGTATTTTGGTGTTAATTGGTTAAGCACCCAAACATGGAGCTTCGTTTTGAATTCAAATTTGCACAAATGACTTAAAACTGTTTTATGGTCAATCTTCAGCTTTTTGGCGATACTAGAACGCTAACATGCTGGTCAACTTTGATTATTTCTGTGATTTTATCGACATTTTCGATGATGGGCCTAACTGTGCGAGGTGCATTTTTAAAATCAGAAATACCTGAATGGAATTGACGAAACCAAAATTGCAAGTAATTACCTGTTACAGTATCAGTACTATACACAACATTCCCAATTTCAGCCACCTGGCTTTATGAAAGAAAAACTGTAAAAAGAACCGAATTTTCTCTTTATTGACATCTTTTTTTAACACCCTGTAACTCACAACTGAATGAACCAAACAAAAAAAGCAAATGATTTTTTAGTGTGAAATGTCATCTTGAAAACGAGCATAATTTTGAAATTGTTTGATCGATGCTTCACGAGATATCGACACTACAGTCATCTACCGAAAAAAATAGTGGATTTCTTTTCTCTCAACCTCATATTAAGCTAACAAGTGCAAGTAACCAATTTAACTTAACCTAATCTATCGTTGATTACAAACCCCCAATCCACTAATTTAATACTGTGGCAAAAGCAGGTCTTAATCTTAAGCTACGAAAATCAAATTTACTCTACCTCACCTGCGTGGCGAATGTAACAGCTTCTCAGCTTCTTCTATAATTACAAAAACTCTGATTTTATATAGTCGAACTAATCTATCCAGTTTTCAAACATTAATAAAATACTTTATTTATCTATTTAAGTTCAAATAATTTTTTTAAAATGGTGGAGGAAGACATTTGATGTTGATACAGTTTTTTCAAATATTAACTCATTAATCAATTTAAAAATGAATAAATAGTAACAAACACAAAAATAATAGTCTATCAGCATGTATAGAAAGAAAAATCGATCACAGTGTCCCTGTAGCGCAATAGATAGCGCGTTGGACTTCTAATCCAAAGGTCGTAGGCTCGAATTCCACCTGGGATGGCTTAATTTCTGAGATTGTCATTTGTTTTTACTATACTATTTTGATATTCCCCACTTGAGAAAATATCTCTCGGAGTATCAGCGTGAGCTAGAGGCGTAGGATTAACGAAAGAAATCGAAGGAAACATAATCTTAATATATCTTTATTAAGGTTTTCATCTTAAACTTCTAACAAATTAAATTACAATAATTAATGTGAGAGAATATGCGATGGCGAAATACACAACACACAATATACACTCATGTCCATAAATTAATGATAATGAAGTTCAGGCAAAGAAAGAGACAGAAGCAAAACTAATTTGACTAATTTATAAAGTCCATTATTGAACAAAAGGTAAAGAGCAAAAAAGACGCTATATGTTTGACATAATTAATAAAAATTGCGATTTTTACTCCCTGGAGCAAATTTCATAAAAGAACCTATTTACAAAAAACAGTATAACATGGTTAGTATGATTGTTAATACGGAGTATGTCTCCCCGACGATGCAATACAGGCCTTACAAAGCCTACACATGCTGAGTATCAAATTATCAATCTGATCTTGGGGAATATTACACCACTCATCAAGCAATGCCCTCCGAAGTTCCAGCAGACAGGTGGGAGGGGGTTTACGGGCTGCAATTCATCAGAAAAATATGTCCCACACATGCTCTATTGGATACAAGTCCGGTGAGTATGCTGGCCAATCCATATGGGTTATATCCTCCGATTGAAGGCATTCGTCTACAATGTTTGCACGGCGAGGACGGGCGTTGTCATCCATAAACAGAAATTCAGCACCCATGGCGACCGAAACAAACGTACATGTTGATCCAGAAGAACATCCCGATATATGTGGCCAGTCATCGTTACACTCTGAACATGCAGATCAGTTCCGGAACCAAGAATAATTCCTCTTCAAACGAGCCATCCTGCACCACCCTAACGGTGTCGCGTTCAATGGTGTTCTCTTGGTGCTAACGGGTACCTGGCGCTCTCCATATTAAAGTCCGGCGAGAATCAGACTGCAAATAAAACCTGGACTCGTCGGAAAACATCACACCGGACCACTGTTAGGGTGTCCACAATGCATTCTCTCTACTTCAGGTTAATCGCATGTGACAGTGAGTTGCGGTAAGTGGAACACATCTGACAGGCCTTTGAGCATATAGACCAATGTGCCCTAAGCGTCTGTACACGGTCTGCCTTGAAACTATGGTACCGGTAGATAAAGAGAATTGACGAGACAGGTCTGATGCTGTGCTCCGTCTGTTTCTTTGGCAGTAACTGCGAAATACCGGTCCTCATTTGGCGTTATAACTCAGGGGTGACGTGTTATGTAACATCTACTCACATTACCATCATATTGAAATCGTTGCCAAAGCCTGGAGATGACACTCTGGGCGATTCCAAGCTCCTCGGATACTTTCAGCTGAGTACGTCCCCATTCCATTACTACTTTATTAGAATAATTATATTTAATTAATGAATAAATTGTCACAAAATAACGAAAAATAGTCCATCACCCTATATAGAAAGGAAAATGGAAAATTGGAAGGAAAATCGCTTTCTATTTTGCAACTTAATATTGTGCTTCTGTTCTATGTTTATAAATATCTATATTAATTGTAACTATTTCATAAAAAAATGACTAAAACAAAGTTTTCCTTTGCTGAGCTAAGTAGGAATCAACTTTTTAAAAAAAATTATATTACTTGTTATCCTTTTGTTTAACTAAATTCTATTATGTCAATAGTTAATTGAAATATACTTTATGCTCTTTCATATCAAAAAAAGTTTTCATTATGAGTTAACTTTTCAAGTTTTTTTTTATTTTCAAAATGTCGTAGATCTCTCTCTCGTAGCCAAAGTATCAGTATGTTTCAAACCAAAATATTGTTTAGCATTTTTCGCTCCCGGATTTTTCAAGAGTTTTGGCTGCTATTATTTATTTTTCTGTGGTTTGCGTTAGAATTTGATTTCAAAAATATCCGAGAAATATAAGGAGATTCTTGCTGTGCAGATTTGTTAAGCATTTGACAAGCAATAACATTTTTTCACTTAAATATTTGATACATTTTCAATAGACTTCGTTCAAGTTACTTTTGATCAGAATAGCAAACCGAAACCTTCTTCTGCTTTATTAATATTATGCAATGATAATGCATGAAACCCTTCTAGTGAGGAACCTTTTTTTTTAAATAAACAAATATTTTTACCTTTTTTGAGGGGGCGAGGGGATTTTCAACGCTTTTTTTAGATAATCTATCATTCAATCAGCCATTCTCAAAAAGGAGTAAATACTTAGTTTAAAATTTATATATATTTATTTGTGACTTCACCAACAATGCTTAATGAACAAATTACATTTCATAATTTACTTCATCAGCTGTTGATTTGATTTTCATTTGTCTTATAAATCATTAAGTTGAAATAAAATCGTGAGAATCAGGATTACTTGTAATAGATTTTAGTCTAGGTTCAGTAAATACAATCGCACGATATATAAGAACACAATTTCAAGTACTTGCTTCGCATTTCATTCAAAACTGGCTGCATAGCCCGGCGTTGCAAGGACATCTTCCAAGTGTATAGCTTTATTCCTTTGGCGATTCCCCTTTCCCTCTCAGCGTCAGTACTTCCTGGTGTCTGTGTAATTCCTGTATTAATGCTGTTTAAATTATCTTTTTCGAAGTTTCTTCCACCTCTTTACACCTTAGTACGGTTCTGTTTACTCTCCATTTAGCCGGGGTTGCACGGGCTTTTTTCGTGGGTATAACTTTATTCCCGTGGAAATTTTCCCTCTATCTCTGAACGCCAGGAGTTCTAGGTGTGTGTCATGCGTGATGTGAGTGATTTCTATATTTTTGTCATTGAAATTCCCTTTTCTGCAATTTCTTCCACTTCCTTTTTTGTCAGACAGGCTTTTCTTTGTCAGAGTTTGCTTTTTCCATGTATTTCTTTTCGCTTTCTTCAGCCCGGCGTTGTGTGCATGGGCTTTTTCAACTATAAAACTCTTTTTTTTCCTCCGGGATAAGATCTTTTTTTCCCCAAATTCCCCCAAATTTCCTTTTTCGATAAACAATTTACAAAGCTAATCCAGTTTTATTTACAAGAAAACAGACAATCTAAGAATTTATAATTAAATAATTAATTTTGTAATGAGTAATAAAAAATAAAAAAGCTTTTATTTTTTTCTTAAAAAAATACTTATGTAGATCCATTTTCGTTAAATAATGAATCAAAAATTATTACAGTTGGCTATTGAAACTACTGCTTATAAATTCATACGTAAACAAACGTACCTATCTATTTATGTAAGGCTAAAACGCCTTATATAAATAGGTATAATACGCCCGTGGAATCCATTTTGACCATTTAATGTCTTTTCAATTACAATTATTTGAAAAGATATTAATTAAAAACCATTAAAAGCACAATTCGTCTGCATTATTTTAACAATAAAAACCCGGTTTGGCTGAAAATCGATTTTCGACGCCAACTTACGTCATTTTTATAATATTACGTCATATATTTTTTACGTCTGTATTGTTGTAACAATAATGTTGTTACAACAATACAGATGAAAGTTGAGTTGAATGTGTTTTTCCTGTTTTTCATTAATATCTTTTTAACTAATTACAATGTCGGAAAATAAATAGTCAAAACGGCTTCCTTGGACCAATCCCAATCTTTTGGTATCATTGGCGAGTCTCTGCGTGTTGCGGTTCGTGAGAAGACAGAGAGGTTAAAAGGTACATTTGCTTACCTATGGATTTTTATAGTGTAAACTAGCTGTGTGACCAGGCACTGCGTGGGCTTTTAAAGAACATAATTTTTTACGAATGGAAATTACCTCTTGTACTTCTCAGTACTTCTTGGTTTGTGTGTGATTTCTATATTTTGGCCTTAAAATTTCCTTTTTAGAAATTTCTTCCACATCTTTGCCCCATCAGACGGCTCTGTTTCCCCTCCGCTTAGCCCGGTGTTACACGGGCTTTTTTCAAGAGTGTAGCTTCATTCCTCATGGGAATCTCCCTTTTCTGAAGGCCAGCAATTCTGGGTGAATGTGTATGCTTAATGTGTGATTTCTATATTTATGCCATTTAAACTCCCTTTTCGGAAATGTCTTCAGTTTATCTTCCTTGACTGACAGATTTCTTTTTTCTAAGTTTAGCCCGGCGTTGCACGGGCATTTTTGAGAATAAAAATTTTTTCCCAGAAAGAAATATTTTTTCAAATTTCTATTTTCGATTTAAATTTACAAAACTAATCTAGTTTTATTCTTAAGAGAACATATAATGTGGGATTTTATTATCGAATAATTAATTTAGTAATGAATTATAAAAAAACAACGCCGCTTTAGTTTTTATTTTAAGTATTAATTTATATTCATTTTTGTTAAATAATGAATTTAAAATTTATTAGTGTGTTAGCTATTGATTCGACAGCTTATTTCTGGATGCTTCATTATCCGATTAAAATTATGTAATTATAAAAAAAAACTATAGGGGGAAGCCTAGAAATTTGTTTACATTCACTGTATAAAAAGAGATTCAAAAAGAAAATAATACAAGTTAATAAAAAATTTCATTATTAACTTAAGCACTCATGAATTCTGTAGTTGCTTTACCACAAATAATTATCACTGGCATTTAGCGATTCTTTACGTTGCCTTTTTATGGCGCCCCGAAACGGAAAAGTATTTTTTTTTTACAAAAAATAGTTTTATGTTTGAAAAAACCACAAAAACAAAAGTTTTTAAAATTACAAAGTTCCATCAATTTTTTTTAAAAAAATTAATACAATATTCCGTTTCAACTTTACTTGGTAGCGTTAAAAAATGTAGAAAATGCACCGATTTACTAAACAAAGTTTTTAAAAATAGCTAGCTACATGGCTCGGCAATGCACGGGCTATTTCGAGTGAATTACATTTTACGCTTGGAAAATTTCACTTCACTTCTTGGTGTCAACACTTCAAGATATGATTCCTATATTAATATCATTAAGCTTC